GGGGGGGGCTGGGTTGGAGGAGAGACTCCAGGTGTCTCTCAAGATGCGCCCTCCTGTCATGCTGTGGGCACTGGGAGCTGGAAGGTGGGGACCTCAGGGCCCAGAAGGATGAGGACCACCTAAGTCGTGGGCTGCTTTCCCCCCCAGGAGGCCCCATGGAGCTTTCCAGGGCCTGGCCTCAGGGCACCAGGAACGACGCGAGGGTCTGGGCAGGGGATGATTCCGGGTCAGGGAGCTGGATGGCAGGGCAGACACACAGATGGACCGCCTGCCCCGGGGAGATCCCTGTGGCGCCTTCTCCAGGGCCGTCTGGCGCCACCACTGAGAACTCCCAGCCTGACAGAGCGTGGCCCAGCTGCTGCGCATCTCTGCCCAGGAGTGTCTGTTCCCTCCTGAAGCCTGAGGACGAGACAGGGTTTCTTTCGAGGAGGCTTGATTCTGTCACAGGAGTGACAGGTTCACTCTCTCCAGGCTGGAGCAGTGTCCCTCTCCCAGGCAGGGGACCCCGTCTTCCACCTGCAATAGGCCTGCTTGGGGCTGATGGAGGCGGGAGCAGCACAGTGCTCCAGACCACTGGAGTAAGCTTTCACTGAGAGCCCATAACCTCGGGCCCACAGCTGGGACTTTGCCCCTGGGTCCAAGTCCCCCAGCTCACCAGAGACTGCGATCACCCAGGGGGTGAGGCTGAGGCCAGAGAGCAACCTTCTCCACCTGACATGGCTGGGAGTGCTAGTGTTTTGTTTTGACCAAAAGAAAAAACCTGTGTGGTCAGAGATGGCCCTAAACTCCCGGGGGAAGGGGCAGTGGACATGGGAGGCCACACAGCTGGCAGCTGGTGGTGCCAAATGAAGAGTGGCTGATGGGTCTGTCTTCACCTGACTCCTGGCTTTTGGTTTTCGTGGAGGTCCCCGAACTGTAAGGACACAGGATACACAGCCCTCTTGCCCACACCCACGTGACTTCCCCTGAGGTCCTGCTGGGCCTCCCTGTCAGGGGAAGAGGGCGTTTGAGCAAGCAGCCCCCAGACCTCAGCTCCTGCTCACCTGCCCACCTGTCCCTGGCTGGCACTGGAAAGTGCTCCAGGAGGGAGGGACAGCGTGGACCACAGCTGGCCACCAGAGGAGGGGCCCGGCCCCAGGGATCACAAAGCAGCAGAAACTGTCCAGAAAACGTCCCTTTTTATTCCATACGCAAATAAGTAGATTCATTAAAAAAAAAAAAAAAAAAGTCTTTGCCTGGAGGACGAGGAGAAGCCCAGGAGAGAAGCCAGTCTGGCCCTGCCTTTGAAATGGACGATCTGACGGATGCACCCCCTGGCAGGGCCTTTGCCCCTTCCCCTCCACAGGGCCTCTCTCTCTAGGCGTTCTCTCAGCAGCGGCAACTTCCTGGCCACCAGGCTGATCACAGTCCCCTGGAGATCTGCCCTCTGGTGCCTGCGTAGTCCCAGGAAGGGACTTTCGTGTTGGGGAGCACGGGTGGGGGTGTCACCTCAAAGCACCCTGGACAGCCTGTACGTGGTTTGCCTTTGCTGTGAGCTGGGCCCAGGCTGCTGGCTCCCAAGGGGTGGCTGAATTTGCTTCTAGGCTGAGGTGTGACCCCCTGGGGCTCCGAGTTGCATGGCCGACTGTCTCCCTCTGATGCCCTCTTCCCCGCGGGGATCCAGCCTTGCAGCTGTTTGGAGAGTCACAGTCGCAGGCATTCCTGTTACATTCTGCACGATCTTCGGACAGGGGCTCGGCCGCGGCCGCCGGGGCGCTCTCGAGGCGCAGAGGATCCGTAGGAACGTCCCAGCGCTCCCCGACGGCCCTCCGAGCGCCCGCCGCCCCCGCTGCGCCGACTGCGTGTCCGCAGAGGTCCCCAGCGGCCACGAGGAGTGGGCCCAGCGGGCAGGGGGCTCACACCAGGCCGGGCATCTGTGCCCGCAGAAAGGGCACGGAGGCGGCGGCCGGGAAGGCGGCCAGTGGGTAGGCGAGGGCCCCAGAGAAGCCGAGCAGCGGCGGGGGCGGCGCGGGCGCGGCGGGCGCCAGCGGGAAGGGCAGCGCGGCGGGAGCCCCGGTGGCGGCCGCGGCCGGGGGGCTTTCGTGGTAGAGCACCGGCACGCGCACGAGGCGCTGCGCGCCCGGCGGGGACAGACTGGCCGCCTCCAGCTCGGCCGCCAGCTGCCGCTTCCACTTGTTGCGGCGGTTCTGGAACCAGATCTTGACCTGCGTCTCGGTGAGCTGCAGGGAGGCGGCGAGGCCGGCGCGCTCCGCGCTGCTCAGGTAGCGCTTCAGGTCGAAGGTGGACTCCAGCTGGAATACCTGGCTGCGCGAGAAGACCGTGCGCGTCTTCTTCTTGCGGCCGCCGCCAACGCCAACGCCGCCACGCGCCTCCGCCGCCCCCGCCGGGGTCTCGGCCAGCTCCGCTGCCTCCTCCGCGCCGGCCGCCGGGCCCCGCGCCGCCAGCTCTGCCGCCTCCCGCTGCACCGCTCCCGGCCCGGGGCCCCGCTGCCAGGCGCCCTCAGCACGGCCCATCTCCTCGCTCGTCTCCGGTGAGTCCCGGTCGCTAGCTGCAGGGGAGAGAGGGGCACACGGGTTGGTTCTGGGGGCTGGTCCCCAGACCCAGTGACTGAGGCCAGCTGCTCCCCCCATGAGGTCACCCACAGCCACAAGCAGGGAAATACTCCCCCACAGGGCCAACACCCTGCACCATGGACGGGATGGAGAAACGCAGAGCCACAGAAAGTGAACTTGAGGACCCGAGCGCTACTGCAAACCAACGCCGGGCAACACACTCCACTCAGAACTGCCCATCACACCAGAGGACATCAGAGAAAGGAGGACCAAAAAGAAACAGAAACACAAACAGAAACACAAAATGAAGACTGACTCCTGTAACCACTGGCTTCGCCTTAAAACACACAGAAGCTGCGCAGGCACACTCGCAGGAGGAAAGATGCGCTGCGAGAAACACACACACTGGACAACAGCAGACACCCCAGTCCCCAGCCCCCAGCCCCGCGCCAAGCCCCACAGACACAGACAGAAAGACTTGCAGTGACCCCTCCCCATCCCCCTCAGGAGCAGACGCAAAATTCCCACTTGCACAGAAACGTTCTATAGATGGAGGACAACCACACGCAAACAGTCCCTCAAAGAAAACTGCGGCAGCCAGGACACTGGTACACACTTACCTCCATCCCCTGTACCCCTGACCCAGAGGCCCACAGAGACGTAGCCACGCAACCCACAATCATGCTCGCAGGGAGGGCTTACAAACGCAGCTCCCCAGAAACACGCAGCAGCCGCACCCCCAACACATCAGACTCGGGGTTCATGCTGTGGGCCTGGGGGCACAGGAGCCCACACGGGGTCCCTGAGCCCGTGCTCTAAGTACGGAGCCCCACCTGGCCTCCCAGAGGAGAGGAGACACCCCAGGGCTGGTAAAGGCTGGTGCCGTAGCTGACAGAAGTCTGCCCAGAACCCGGATGCTTGTCCAGGGTCAGGCCCAGCTTGAAGAGAGCAGCGGCCTGACGGCCCGGCTCACGAGGCTAACTCAGGCCACTCTGCCTTTCCGCCTGGGCCTGAACCTCTTGTGCAAAGGCTGACAGGTCGGTGGTCAAGGTGGGGTTTGGCCGGGCAGCCCTCAGAAGGCTGTGGTGTGCCCACAGTGTGAGTGTTTGTGGTGTTGCACACCCAGGGTGTGCAAACATTGGTGGGCTTGTGCGTGTGGCTTGGGCTGTACACCTGGCGCCCATGGCGGTGTGCAGATGCTCACGTGCCCCTGCCCGACCCCCGTGCTGTGAGCCCTCACGGTGCCCGAAGAGGGATCAGATTCCAGGCGGGCGTGTGTGCCACCAGATATGGGAGCCTCTGTCTCCCCACAGCACCCCAAACCCCCAGACTCACAGAGGCCCACGAATTGCCACAATGTGCCTAGCCAGGTTCCCCAGCTCTGGTGCGAAACCAGGACCCCAACCCGCATTGCACGAAGTAAGGAGGAGCCGCCTCTTCCGGAGCTGCCTGAGGGGCTGCAGGTGGGGATGGACCCTGAGGGCAAGAGGAAGACACAGTCACCCCATGAGACCCTTTTCAGAAACACCCCCAGAAGGGCCCTAAATTTGATCACTCGATTTTAGGACAACACTGAGGGCTGCTCAGCTTTACAGGAACAGGGTGTGGGGCCCTAAACTTTCTGGGCATAGGCTCTGAGATGTGGGTCCCTTTGCAAGGGGATCACTCCCACACCAGGAAAGGGGTTATCCAAGAGATGAGAGAGGGTCGAGGCCCACCTACCCCCAGCACACACTAACACGCGCACAGAGCTGGATGGATTTCAGAGGTAGAGCCTGGAAGAGTCCCCCGCTGGCCTCACAGTGTGTGTGTGTGTTGGGGGGGTGGGGGTAGCTGGCAAAGCCTGGGGGCCAGGTTGGAACGGTTTCCTGGGTCTCCCTCCAAAGGGCATGTCCCCAAGAGAGGGAAAGGGAGCAGAACTCAGGGGTGGAATGAGGTGCAAGAGGGGTGAGCAGGCTCTGGGGTTGAGAACTCTGGTCCCCAGCCTGGAGCCCTCAGCAGGGAACAAAGGCAGTGGAGGGGGAGGGGCAGAAAAGGAAGCAGGGGTGCTGGGGGCTTCAGCACAGGCTCCCTTCTGCCCTGCACAGCCCCAGCCGTCAGGCCTGGGAGGACCAAGAGGGAGGCCCAGGCCCCTGCCTCAGGCCGGGCCCTGTCTGCAGCCGGTGGAGGAGAGGGGGCTCTGGGATACTGTGGAAGACCGCCCCCCTCTCCAGCCCCCCAACAATTTGCTCAAGGCCCCCTTGATTTTTCTGCCTCTGACTCCCTACTTTGTCTTCCCTTCGTCTTCCTGTGAGCTCTCTCTTCTTTCTCCATTCACTCCCCGACTTCGTTTGCATCTTCTCTCCTCTCCCGACATCCCTCTCCTCCTCCATCGTTCCCTCTTCTTTTCTCCCACTCTCTCTCTGCTTCGTGTCCTTCCCTGTCCCCTATGTTTTTCCCTGTCCTATTTTACTCTCCTTTTGTTTTTCAGCTCTGTTGTCCCCTTTACTCAGGTCCCTCTCTGCGGGCTCTCCAGCCTCCCTCGGACCCGCAGAGCCTGGCGATGGGTGAAGCACAGGCCCCGAGAAACCTCCCCGCGTGGGGACCCTGTCCCAGAGAGTGGGCCTTCAAACCCGCCCCACCAAGGGCTCTGCTGGGGCCCTACACGACCCAGACCCGTTACACACAAGGAGGAGGGTGGCCCAGAAAGGGCTGCGACGAACCAAAGTCCGCGAGCAAATGCGCCAGGAGGAAGCCGGGCCCCACCGCCTGGCCCACCCCGCCCGCGCCCTCACTCACTGTCAGGACTGAGGCCGCCTCCGTAGCCGCCGTGCGCCCGCGGGTACCAGCGCGTCCCGCCGCCGCAGCCCAGAGCGTAGGGCGGCCCGGGACCGGGGGTCGGCCGGGGACCGAGGCCCAGC